CTTGTCTCCGCGTGGGTCATAGAACCGGTACGCCTTGGTACCCTCCGCGTAGCCCAGGAACACCATGGGTGTGCTCCTGTCCTCCAGCTTGGTGAGGTTCGGCTTCGTCTTCCTGACGTGGCCGATGCAACTGAATGTCCGGAGGAATGACACGTTCGGCTTGCTCCCGTACCAAACTTCGAACGGTGTCTTGCCCGTTAGGGCTTTGGTTGGAGCGCGGTTGAGGATGAACACCGCCGTGGTCACCGCCTCTCCCCAGAACTTTGCCGACATCCCTTTGGCCTTCATCATGGATCGGGCCATGCCGACCACTGTCTGGTTCCGTCGCTCCACCACGCCATTCTGTTGTGGCGAGTACGGCGCGGTGTGATGTTGCCCCACACCTTAATCCGCGCAGTACGTAGCAAACTCCACCGAAGTGAATTCGCCACCCCGATCAGTCCTCGGTACACGGAGCTTCTTGCCGCTCTCGGCCTCCGCGCGCGTCTTGAACTTCTTGATCGTCTATGTCGCTTCGTCCTTGCTCGTTAGGAGTTGCAGCCACATGTAGCGACTGCAATCGTCTACGAGCAGGAGGAAGTACCGCCAACCACCGCATGTAGCAGGCGTGATCGGCCCGCAGAGGTCGCCGTGATCTAGCTCGAGAGCTTCCTTCGTGCGATACTTGGCCGCCTTTGGGAAAGGTAGCCTTCTCTACTTCCCGGCCAGGCAGCTGTCACACAGCTCGCCTCCGTGTTTGATGTGGGGTAGCCCTCGGACCATCTTCCCCAGCCGACCAAGCGCGTCGAAGCTGAGATGTCCGAACCGGGCATGCCACATCCACGGTTCCTTGGAGTGCCTTACCGCCAGGCAAACCGGCTGCTCTACCTTCAGGTCAGTAGGTACAACCGGTTCAGGGACCTCTTTACCTTGGCGAGAAGTCACTGCTCCCGGTCTCTGATCCTCAGAACGCCGTCCTTGATCAGAACCTCGCTACCACGCTCATCCAGCTGACCAATGATGATGATGCTGGAACGCAGCTGCGGGATGTAGTATACATCCGTTAGCGCGCGGTGCTCCCCATTCCGGCATCTGAAGACGATGGTGTCGCGCCCTTGGATAGCCACCCTTGAGCCATCACCAAACTTCACCGTACCGGTAACATCACCATCGAGCTCGGAGAAGAGTCCTTGGAGCCCATCATGTGGTTACTGGCACCAGAGTCCAGATACCACCGCTGCTCCTGGTCGACGCCCACATGTCCAAAATGGACTTGGGCATGTGGTTCGTCGAGGTTGACGGTCTTTAGGGCCTTGCTAGATCCTTCCACCGTCGTCGCCTCTTCCCTCTCCATGGCCTCGATGTCATGCAGTGCACAGAACGTCGCCATAAGGATAGTGGCCTCATCCTCATCATCGGCTTTCGCCAGGTGAGCCTGAGCCTTCTTTTCCTTCTTTCGATTTGGGCACTCCCGTGCCCAATGGCCCATCTTTCCGCAACACCGACAGGCGTTGGAGTCGATTTGCTTCTTCTCCGAAGAAGCCACCGCCATGATGTTTGTCGTTGCCACCGCGACCGGAGGAGGCTGCCTTCACGAGTTTCGCCCGAAGCCCACTCCTCTTCCGTCGGCGGGGAGTTTCCGCTGTCGCCGTTCTTTGTCGCTTTGCCCAGTAAAGCGCCCACCACCGCCCATGAGACGGCTGCCACATCCTCAATGGTGAGGGTGAACAAGTCCAGCATCGTCTCTATGGAGAGAGCGATCTGGATGTACTTTATCGGCACGGAGTGGAGGAATTTGGAGACCGCCTTCTCTTCGTCGATGGTGACGCCATGGCTCTTCAGCTTGCTGATGAGCGTCTACAGGCGGAGGGAAAAGTCCTCCACCGTTTCACCATCCTTGAACTTAAGGTTTGCGCACTCCTGCTTCAGAAGCTGGGCCGTCGCCTTCTTTGCGCGGTCGGAACCGACGCGCATTGCCGTAATGGCCTCCCACGCCTCCTTAGCTGAGCTTTTCGTCCCCAACAGTTCCCTGCACTCCGCCGGTACAGCAGCGAGGATAGCCTCCAACGCTGACATGTCGTCTTCTTCCACGTCAGTGCCCTTGTCAATAGCATTCCAGAGCCGTCGGGCTCTGAGCTTGACCTTCATGGTCACCGACCACTCTCCATAGTTAGTGCGAGTCGGCGTCGGCCAAGTGGTGCCGGCGACCTCCCGCACCGTCGGGACAACTACCTCCTCAGTAGTGGTGGGCAGCTATGATAAGCATGCCGCGCCATCGCCCAACTTCAAACCGCTTTCATCCCGTCGGTTAGAACGACGACGGCGCTTAACCTGGCGCTCTGATACCACTTGTTGGCCCACGGGATCACCGACTGACGATAGTGAACTAGTCTCCAGACCACTAGTCTCAGACCACTAGTCTCCCAGACCAGACCACTAGTCTCCCAGACCACTAGTCTCCAGACCACTAGTCTCCCAGACCACTATACCGATTGTGTCCGTACCCACACACTACGGATCGAGCTAGAAAAAGAAGGGAGAACAGAGCAAGCACGCACAATACACGACAACAACGTTGGCCAAAGCCTTGTCTATGTGATGGCAAATCTGAGCTCTCTTTACTGAGTTGCCTTGGTGCCCTATTTATACAACTATATCTATCTAACTAAAGTACAGCACAGCATACATCTTTATAAAGATAACTAGATAAGTATACAGGGGCTGACTCTGCGCCGATCATCGCATGTGCCTCTGATTGCTGCGGGTGAGCCATCTTGCGCGCCTTGCACCTACAGCTGACTGCTTCAGATTACAGCAGGGGGCAAAGTCGACGCCGTCTTTCTCTGCTGTGTTTCACACAAGATGACAGTAAATTAGCTAACAATATACAGTCACTGTACACGCAAGGAGCTCTCGGTCAGGGAGGCAGTTCAGTCTAACCTCGATGATGCTTTCGTGCCCAGGCTCTCCAACCAGACCACACTCGAGCTCCATCAGATCAGAGGCATTGTTGATCAGACATCTCTTTCCCAAGGCAATGACCGAAGAAAATCCCAGTTCGACTGCGGCCAAGGCAAACTTGACTCTCTATTTACAGATTGCTCAAGGCAAGACAGCAGGCGGCCGACCCAACTTCGGATTTCATCTGGAAGAACTCGGTGCCTCCCAGAATCCAATTCTTCATGTGGCTTGTCTCAAAAGGAAGAATCCAGTGCCGTGCAAATCTGTTCAGAAAGAAGGTAGTAGATAGCCCGGGCTGTGAAATCTGTGGCGCTGCGGAAGAAACCACTGACCACATCATTCTGCGGTGTCCCTTCGCCAAGGTCTTCTGGAATGTGATCGGATTAACGATCACGGAAGACTTAACTACCCAAGCCATTGAGACGATTCCAAAAATTCAATACATTCCAGCAACACAATATAGCATGCTGCTTGGATGCAGGAGCCTGGCGCTCACGTATTCCCAGGAAACAAAGACAGGTAGCTGAAGTCTGGTGCACCTACCTCCAGGAGCGCTAAATAAGCCAAAATATGTAAAGTCTCTGATGTTTTGTTTTGTAAATTTATTCCCTACTATACCATGTAATCTCTGGACTTGAGCCGAAAGTCATACAATACAAATAATTAGCCCCCCCGGTTGAATGTTCAAAAAAAAAGCTTCGCTTGTTTTCTTAGCCATCCCTAGTAGAATTATAGAAATGCATCCCTGAGCAGTCCTGACCACATCACATGGCTGCATGCTACGTCGTCCCGTAAAGCAGATAGAGCCGGTGTCGCACAACATGCATGTTAACATGTGACACTGTTGTATATAATTTTTTTTCGGGGTATAACAGGTGTTTGCTGCAGCTGTAGTAGTTTGCTTACTACGAAACGGTGTAGATTAAACTAAAAAAAATCGTAGCAGATGTGACTTTAATATGAAGCGAACACACCTATAATACATTTACAGAATTGCTAAACCTCAACCGGTTGATTTGACCTCTCCAATCAACTGATTTTTGGGTCATCTGATCTTACACGGACGGCTAGCAGGGGGCGCGCCCGACGAACAGGCGAGGCACGCGCAGTCAACGAGGTAGCAGGTGCGGCCAGCCTCAGAGCTCGCGGCCCCGGCCAAGGCGGGCGCGGCGCGGGCCTGTGGCCGGCGACGAGGAGGGCCGACGATCGGCTATGAGGAGGGCCGACGGCCGGCTACGAGGAGGCCGACGAGGAGGGCCGCCCCCAGGCCGAATCACCGTTGTTGCTTCTTCTTCGGACTCTGTTTGCGTGCGCATTCGACGGAAGGGAAGGGAAGGGAAGTGCGCAGGCGACGGAAGGGAATGGATAAGGTTGGGGAGGTGGATCCCACCACAATTTGGGAAATTTTGTTTTGAAATTTATGAAAAAATTGTGAATAATTTGAAATATATTTCTCTGTTATCTGCGATTCATAAAAATAATTTGAAAGTATTTCTGAAAAACTTGGCATATATTTGTATTATCTCCAAATTACACCACCGTGTTCAATAAATTACACTGAAGAAATCATTGTAAATCTAGTAATAAGATTGTGTAAATATAGCTAGAAGACACTGTAAGTACATGAAAAAAAAATCAGTTGATAGGAGGGACGAAAACAACTGAATGTCATCTAGATCCTAAATTTAATGGCTACGATGAAGTGTATTTAGTTAGGGAGATAGATGATATCCAGATAGATGGCTGAGATAAGCCCTGTGCTTATACGGACACACATGGAGTTGCATTTCTGCGCCTCACAGTCGCAGGCCCCATGTATTCTCTCCACACGTACGAAAGGCTCTCGCATGCATCTTAAATTAAAGTCGTCCTCTCTATCTATGATCTATCCATGCACCGTCTGCATACAGGACCTGGATTCTATCTCCATCTTCTCCCAACTCGAGCTATATGGAGGACGACGGCACCGATCGAAGCTGCATCCTCCGAATCTCCGATCCGCCCGTGCTCCGGCCGCGTGAGCCCCGCCGCCGACGTGCTGGACGCGTACGCTCCCCAACATGCTGGGCCTGCCGAGCCTCGCGGCCGCCGGCCTCGTCCTGCTCCTGCTCTACCTCACCGGCCGCTTCCTCTGGCTCTACAACAAGGACACCGCTCAGGCAGCCGCCGCATCAGCATCCTCCTCGTCCTCCCGGTGGCGGCCGGCAGCAGCGGCTGGCGCGTCGACGTCGCTGCCAGCAGCCTCTCCTCTGCCCCGCCGTGCCGTGCCGCTGTCGTCGTCGTCGTCCCTGCTCCCGGTGTTCTTCGTCCTGCACGTGGCCGTGTCCGGGCCCGGCGCGGAGACGGCGGAGTGCGCGGTGTGCCTGACGGAGTTCGGGGAGCGGGAGGCCGGCCGGCTCCTGCCGTGGTGCGGCCACGCCTACCACGAGCAGTGCATAGCGACGTGGCTCCGGGTCAGCACCACGTGTCCGCTCTGCCGCGCCCCCGTGGCTACCAAGTAACGACACGCTCACGGCTCCGTGTGCAACCGTTGTGTGAGGGTGACCTCTTCTTATAAAAAATTTGGGTATTGTATGTATATGCATCGGTCGCTCAGATATATCTAATATTATTATATCGTTGATTAAGATATTTGCATCTTTATTTTTCCTATATACCAGATATTTGCATCTTCGCTTTTTCTATATACCATCAACAACGGAACCACGCCATGCAACCTTTACAGTAATTTCGCTTTGATTTTTAAAAGACTTCTGTAATAGTTGAAGTTGAAATGTAAATTTTTGTGGTAGATGAAAGGATGAAAGCGTTATTGAGGGGGTAACTTCTGTACTAGTACCGCTACTGATATCACACACTTGGCGCTCACCAACAAAAAAAAAATGTACAACGTGCGCGTGTCAACACTATTGCGTGTGCGTGAGCTTGCCCTTCTTCAATAGGCCTCAAAACTGCAGACGACAAGTTTTTCTGTTTAGACCTCAAAACCAGGGAGTGACAGATCGGCGAACAAGTAGCGGCATCACGAATCTTGCATCGAGGTGAAGCAAAGTCATGAAGACACTAGAACCGTCGGATGCATGAGGAAAGATTTGGACGGTTTTGCCACTTGGGGTGTGTATCCAATACATACTAAGTACTAGTGTTAGTTTAGTAATCAGTCATGGGCTCATGGCACTATATATTAGATATATGGCTGGTGGTAGAGGCATCCCTTTGAACATTAATTTCATTTGCTCTAGGTTTAGCCAAGTGCTTATTAGAGAGACTAGGGCAGAGAGAGCTCTGGGTTGTACACATATTTTTGAGTGTTTTGGTACCCTTAAAATTTGTTAAATTTATGGCTTGAAGCCCAACAATTACCTTCAAAGTTTCAACTATAACCTCAAGAAGTTGATTTTCAGCCTAGCAATCGAGAAAGTTTAGCAGTTATGCACGGGATTTCATGCCTGCCTCCTATGCCTTCGGCCTAGGCATGTAACTCTCCCTCCCTTTAACTCTAAATCAAATGCCGCTTTTGCCTTTGACTCTGAATCCGTTGCTACCTCTGCTCCTGCCTTTGCCCCTGCATCTGCCTCTGCCTCTCTGCCCCTGCATCTGCCTTTGCCTTGGCCCCATCTGCCTTGTCTAATTTCCTCCAATCCAAAGAACATTTGTGATGTTACTTCTTCTTCTTGAATTGCATTGATTAAGATTTTTTCGATATTGTTGTAATCTAATAGCCTATTCATATCCCGTCCGATCCTACAGTCTAGCATTATTCTACCTATTTTCTGTGTCCCTACAAAAAGACGGTGAATCCCATAATGGGTTACTTTCAGGCTACAAACCAAACAAAATAAGCCAATATAGTGCGGCCAGTGGAAACAACAAAAGCAGGGGCAACACTTCTACTTCGAACTAAAACTGCTCCACAGAGATGATGTGGACCCTCATGGTAACCTCCCCTTCCTTCTTCTTCAGTTCGTGGACCCTCATGGTAACTTCTCCTTCCTTCTTCTTCAGTTCAAACAAACAAATATCTCCATCTCGTAGACCATTGTCACGAGTAAATCTGGCCCAGCCTCCTACAAGAAACCACTATCTTTTAGTGCTACCACAGACCGACATTTTGGTCTCCCATGTCTTCCTCATGTACCGGAGCACCACGGTTTTCACTCTATGTGGAAAATGTGGAGCAGCAAACTCAGATTCAAATTCCTGGTGGATTACAGACAGAATGTTGGAAACACGTTACGATGATAGGTTGACAATCTTAGCAATTGAAACAAATCAATTTTTAGCATTAAAACTAGTGGCCTCTATATAGTTGATTGTTTCAAAAAAAATGAAGTTTCTATGATGTAATAACAAATTTCTTTCAAAAAATATGTAATAACAAATGGTTTGCTAGGATGGAAAGAACAATAGTATAAAGAAATATATAATTCAACAAAAGAAAGAAAGAAAACGCACTATCAAACTGCCATAAGTGGCATCAACATTGCTCTTCTTCATTAATACAACAAAAATGGGGACTTTAGACTCGATGGATCGCACTCTCTCTTCAACCATCCTGTTTTGGGATTGAGATAGATTTGTCTTAAATGATACGATGTAAGGAGGCTCAGAAATACAACCAGAATCGCTCTCTACAGATTCGTGCGAAGTTTCACAACCATATAAGATCCTTGGTAGAAAGATCTAAATTGTCAAAGGCACGGATTTTAGAGCCATACTTGCATTTGCACATGATTTGCAAGCCATCTCGATCTAAATCAACAAGTGCATACACTGGAACCATTATGTTGTCACATAACTTGCGGACAGTGGCACGCACTGCAACAGTGGGGTATTCTCTTTCGGTGATTATAACACACTTATGTTTAGTGTGGTAATCTATACCTTCGAAGACATTTTCTTTCTCTACGACCAACAAAAATCTGATTTTACCTGATAATTTCCTCCTTGGATGTGTAGTCAATGTGTTCTTTCTTACCTATCAAAAGTATGACAAGGTCGGTGAAGACCCGGATGACGCGGAGTCCATCCTCCTTGGGCAAAACACCTTCTTAGTGACATCTTCGTGCAATGAGGGACAGATCTCATCGCTATCGGCGGGTGGCATCTCGTCGTTGGCGGATCTTGATCCCCAGCCGCGGCCTCCCGATGTATTCCTGGAGCTCACGCTCATCCCACCCCTCTCGGCAACCCAGCCTTCATCACCTTGGCATTTTGAGTCGGTCATAGTGGCGGCGGCGGCGACGAGAGGAATCGAAATCGGAGAAGTGGATCGAGGTGGGGCAGAGAGGGTTTTGCTCTTTTGGGGGGTTTAGGCGGCGGGTTCTTTCCACTTCCTTTTCTAGGGTTTATCACTGCAAAGTGAGAGTGTGACGGTAATTGGACGGGCCTGATCAGCTGCACCGATCAGTCAATCTGGGCATAAAAAACCGAGAACCGAACCGAACTAACCGAAACCGAAACCGAAGTAACCGAGACCGAAAAAATCGGTTCCTAATTCGGTTCCTGGTTTGTACTAACCGAAATAACCCGGGTCAATTCAGTTCCTGGGCTCGGTTAACCGAAGAACCGAAGGAACTCAGGCCCAGTAGATAGGAGGCCCATGAATGAACAGCCAGCCCAATTACCATCATATGTAAGAGCACCCTTCAAACCCTAGAGACAAAGCTCGTACACATCCAACTCCCCTCATCCCCTGCACAGCTGCCAGTACACCTGCTCCCCATCCAACTTCTCCATGCGAGATGCGACCATGGCTCCCTTTCCTGTTCTCCTCCATCCAACTCTCCTGCACGCTGCGCGCGAGAGCCACTGCAGCCTGCAGTGGCGAACAAGGCGAGGCGCGGCGGCGGCAGACCTCCTACAGACGCGCCCGGTGGTGCTCAGGTGGAGGTCCGGTGGCCCCCTTCGGGGCGTAGGGTGCAGGTCCAGCGGCCCCCTACAGCGCGCAGGGAGGAGGTCCGCAGGCGGTGGCCCTCAGTAGCGTCGGCAGCGCCTGCCTGTGTGCACGACGGAGGCGAATGGACCTACATCTTCTTTTTTTTTGTTGAATTTGGTCATCGATCTATGTATTTTCTGGATGTTCAATTTAGAATCGGTTAGTTCGGTGATAACCGAAAAGAACCGAAACCGAATTGCTCGGTTCTCACTTTTCAAAAGAACCGATAGGTTAACTGTTTGTAGGTAACCGAATGTACTATAAAATCGAAGAACCGAACCGATCAGTTTCGGTTAACCGAATGCCCATGCTGACCGATCAGGTTCATGTATCGCGACCATCCTTGGGAAGGCCCAGGCGCAATCAAGTTCCTTTTTTTTCTCTGAGCATGTAAAGTTATCTGACAAGGTGGTTCAGCCCTTTCACCCTCAGAAAAATGAAAATCGGGGATGGGTGAGCCATGTGTTGCTCAACACCACTCATCACTTTACGGCCTGTGCGGATAAGCTTGCTACGGCTGCGGGTGGCTGAAGCTACAGACGCTGCCAGCTTTGCTGCGTGTTGTGTGCTGCTACAGCCACAACAAAGCAAATGCTATCTTTTCTAGCAAACTAGTTGGGACCCGCGCGACCGGGGAGAAAAAGAAGGAAAAGGAAAATGGGAAAATCGCAAAAGAAAGAATTGGGAAAAAAAAAGAGGGGGAGGGACAACATGGTTCTGTAAAAAAAGGACGTACCTAGTGCGGAGAGCTTCCGCTCTGTGCGGGGTCTGGGAAGGATGTTAGTGGCAAGCCTTAACTTCGCATGTGCAATGCGAGAAGACCGCGACTCGAACCCGAGACCTTCCGGTCACAGGCGATAAGACTCTACCGCTTGCACCAGGCCCGCCCTTCAAACAACATGGTACTGTAGATTTAAAAAAAAGAAGGGTATAAACAAAAGAAGGGAACAAAAGAAAAAAAGAAAGCAAAAAGGGGGAAAACGAAAGGCACTGTAGATCTACACTCCCGGCTTGGCATCAGGCTCGAACGTCCTCCGATGCGGCTGCAACTCTTGCTGGACGGCTAAAGTCGGTTCGGGCAGCGGCAAAGATTTGGTCAAGGCGTAACAGGGCGCCACTAGTCATTATACAAAACTGTAAATCCATCATTTTACTCTTTGACACGCTTGAAGAGAAGGAACAACATCGTGCTCAGGAATGACAGAATCACGCTAAATGCGGCGCTGGTGGCGTGCAAGACTTGAAGCCCACCTGTGGTCGGTGCTTTCTGTTGGAATTTTTGGAATACGACAGTGGCTGGCTGATGAGCGAAGTGCGTCGGTGCTGGGCTCAGCCGCGTCGATAAAAAAGCAGCAGGTCTGTGTGGCTGGAAGTGGGTCGACGGAGAGAATGGACAGCCAGGCAGGACAGTCAGTGGTAGTAGTGCGAATACAGTGTGCAGCACTGCAGAGTGCAATCGTGCAGGCACACCCAGATCTGTAGTTGTTCTGCATGTGTTGTGAGCACTCATCAGTCGCCCGTTTGCTATGTTGGTGTGCATGCCTCTCAGGCTCTCAAAGCAAAATGGTGTCTTGATGATGTCGACGACGATGATGAACTCAAAGAGATGCAACGGTAGCTGAGTGGATCCATCATTCCATGAGTGATGAGAGTACTCGATCAGAAAAGCGCAAGACCTCTCTGCACTTTTTGTCAAAAAAATAAAGACCTCTCTGCACTTACAAATGCAGTCTGCTGGTGATCTCCTAACCTTGTGCGGCTGACGGGGCCATTGCTCATGCTGAGCAGAGCATCTTATCTTGTGCTGTTTCCGGAATTGATTGATTACATAATATATACGTAATATAATGGACAAGCTAACGGTCTCGATAGGAAAAACAAACTCGTCATATGTACGAAGTATTAAATATAGACTAAAAAATAACTAATTATATAGTTTACGATTAATTTGTGAGACGAATCTTTTAAGCCTAATTAATCCATGATTTATGTGGTGCTACAGTAACACATGTGCTAATAATGGATTAATTAGGCTTAATAAATTCGTCTTGTAGATTATTGATGGATTCTGTAATTTGTTTTTTTATTAGTATCCGAACATCCCATACGATATCTCTATACGACATCCTGTTTAGTTATATGTATGAAGTATTAAATATAAACTAAAAAATAACTAATTGCATAGTTTACGACTAATTTGCGAGACGAATCTTTTAAGTCTAATTAATCCATGATTTGTGTGGTGCTACAGTAGCACGTGTGCTAATAATATATTAATTAGGCTTAATAAATTCGTCTCGTATATTATTGATGGATTCTGCAATTTGATTTTTTATTAATATCTGAACATTCTTTACGATATCTCTATATGACATCCGATGTAACGTCTAAATCTAGGACTTAAACAAGGCCTGACAAGCACCTCCGCTCATCTCACAGGTCACAATCACATACGACACGACAGGGGGCGAGCTGCCGAGCTGGATGCGGGCATGCGGCACAACGTACAGTGCACATCGTTTCACGTGGCCGTTTTGGCTTGGTGTATATATATATACACACACGATAAGGCTATTCTACCGCTAGCCACAAAATAACTTATTTTATAGTCACCTTGGTTTACGATAATGTTTGTATCAATTTACGATAATAACAATACACATTTACAATACATGGGTTACTATAATTCAAGATGATATTTACTATAATGCTATAGTAAATCACTTACGAAAGAGTTATCATAATCTTGTAAATTAATATAATAATTATCGTAACTCAAAGTGGCCACAGAATAACTTATTCTACGACCAGCTACGTAACAATATATATATATATATATATATATATATACTCCCAAACCGAATTTTGTATGTACTACTCCCCCTATACTAATATAATTAAACATGCACGGATCATGTTTTAGGAAGGGAGAGCGTGCCGGACACGAAGGGAGAGCGTCTCCATGGGAGACGTGGCCGTGACCACGGCCGCGACATCAGGCCACGCAGGGACGACGACGACCACGACAACAGGCGCAACCACGGCAACCGTCGACACCGCAGCCTCTCCGCATGGGCACGAAACAACCGCTGCAGGGGAGGCGCGGAGGACTGCATCAGCTCCAACAGGTGGTGCGGACACAGAGAGTCTCCACCACGCAGGAGCAGACCAACAGGGGAGATCGTCCAGGTCTGGAGGGTCAAGGAGCACAAGAGGGAGAAGAAGACCAAGAGGGTCTCTTTTGCTGACCCAATAGCAACTGAGTTGAAGGCCCCCAAGATCCCCATCCCAGACGACAGCATCCTGCTCATCAAGGTGGCCAACAGCTCCACCCCCATGGAGAAGGAAGGGGGACAGGGCATCGACTCCAACAACATCACCACCACAAACGCTGCAGTGGTGACGGAGATGGAGCAGCACACCAAGCTGGACAGTGCCGCCATCAGCGACCCCAACATCAACATTACAAAGCTGGATGTTGATACGGCAAGTGGAGGGACTCAGACCGACATGGGGCTGCAGTTTGGAGTGGTGCTTGATCATCTCAACAACATTCTGGTGAGCCCACCTCCTATGTCTGTACCTCACAATGTAGGCGGTCAGCATCTGAATGCTAGTTTTTCAAATGAGATCTTAGATGAACATAGTCAACCTACAGCTAGCACGTTGCTGGATATGCAAAGCCAATCTCTAGGTGGGATAACTGCTCAGTGTACACAACCAGTAGAACAAACCATCACTGAACCCCAGACTAGTGTGTTGCCGGATAGGCAAAACCAATCACTAGGAGAGACATCTGCCCAAACCATTACTGAACCTCGGACCAACACCGCAGATCCACAACAGGCCACGCCGATAGATGAGTTCCTTGACTCAATTTTGACTCCGGTCCCGAAACCATTGTTAGCTCTGGATTTTCAGCAAACAGATCCCAGCCAATGTGCCAGCCTACCGCAAAGCACAGTTAAACGGCACGATATGAGACTAGCTCAAAAAGCGGTTGCAAATTCGGGAAAGGGGGCGATTGAGATTGCACAAGACCTTTTAGTCAGGAAATTGGGTGACCTTGGGGGCACAGATAATGCAGTTTCAAACAAAGACCCAATCACTGAAGATTTTTTTTATTACTATGCGCAGCACTTTGCAAGGACTATGGAGAAGACAACGATGGGCGCCATCTAGGACCTCATCGAGCAGGGTACCATGATCCAGAAGAAGAGCAGCTTCCAGATGACTGTTGCTGCGGACCCAGGGCCGATGGTCTAGGAGCCAAGTTCCAGTTGTTTAATGTTCAATGTCAGCCCCGCTGGTGCTGAGGGCATGGTTTGTATGCTTATTGTATCTTCATCGAGTAGTCGGTAGAGCCAGATGTGGCACCAGGATCGAACTTTGGATTTCCTGATGGATGTGTGCCTGCTGGCCATGGAGCCTTCGGCGTAAAACTTGTTATCTCCGGATTTGGGGGGAGAATTTGGACTTGCTGGCTGTGTGGCCTTCGGCCCTCCCCGATTATGTTTTGTAAGCTCTAGACCTTGGGGGTGAACTCCGGCCTGCTGGCTCTGTCGCCTTCGGCCAACCTCCAATCAACAAGGCTTCTTAAGTGGATGGAACCTAAATGTCAGCTAAATGCAACCTACTATGCTGGAACATAAGCGGTCTAAATGACGGGGCAAAACGTGCATCTGTCCGAAACCAGATAATTGCTACCGGTGCCACGATCGTATGCCTTCAGGAAACTAATATTAGTAATTGGACCCGTAATCTTCTTGTCAATACGGTCGGTGCGGACATGGCCAGCGATGTGGCATTCCTGCCCTCAGTGGGGACTTGTGGGGGTATCCTCTTGGCGGCAGCTGAACGTTTCTTCAAACTCGGCCAGCCCCAACTAACCAACAATATTGTCACAGTTAACATTACGATGCTAGCTGAGAACAAGACATGGTCTATAACTGGGGTGTATGGACCACAAAGCGATGCGGACAAGGTCGCATTTCTTCAAGAAATTACAGACGTCGGCACTCGCGTCCTCCCGGCTTGGCTACTACTCGGTGATTTTAACTTAATCTTGAACGCGCATGAGAAAAACAACGCACGGGTGTATGAAAAACAACGCACGGGTAGAAGACTCTTCTCGGATGACGGAACAGAGTCGCGTGGCCAGTAGCGGAGACGTCTAGATTCGTAGGTTACTGCGCTGCCTTTAGTTCGGTTGTTTACCTTTATGTAATATCGAAGTTTGAAACAGTCTGCTAGGAAGGTCCAGTTACAACTGTAAGACCTCTTAGGGCGCTCATTAGAAGCGTGTCGTGTGTATGTTTAAACTCTTCTCCTTCTTAATTACAATGATACGTAAATCTTTTGCGTATTCGAGAAGAAAAAAAACAACGCACGGGTAAATCTGCCAATGCTTAACAGATTCAAGGCGACAATCGACAACCTCGAACTAGCAAGGATCGAACTCAGGGGGAAGAAGTATACTTGGTGCAATGACGAACAATCGCCAACAATGACAAGAATCGATCATTTCTTCGCTTCGACAAATTGGTTAGAGATGTTCCCAAGAACTGACCTCCGTGCGCTTGCATCGCTGGGTTCAGAGCGCCCTTTTCCTACAGGGTGATGTGATCATGGATTTTTATGGAGGCTTCCGTTTTGAGTCTCATTGGGTACACATGCTGGGCTTCCTGGACACGGTGCAAGAAACTTGGTACAAGCCAGTGAACACGCAAGATGCCATTTTATTTCTCCATGTCAAATTGTCGCGCATGGCCAAATCACTAAGAAATTGGAGGCGTAAATCACTAAGTAGATGGAAGCTGAGCTGGGCCATCCTGAACCTAACCCTGGCAAATTTGGAGAAGGCACAAGAAGAGAGAAGTCTAACACAGGAGGAGCTGGAGTTTAAAAAATATCTCAAGAATAAATCAATGGGTATAGCGGCTGTGCAAAAATCCAGAGCTCGTCAACATGCAAGATTATCCTGGATCCGGAGTGGGGACACTAACACACGGTTTTTCTAGCTTCATGCAAACATAAGAAAGAAGAAATCGTTCATTGCCTCTCTCAATGGGGAGTCCGGTGTGGCTATCTCGCAGGAGAATAAATCGAAGTTGGCTTTTGAACATTTCTCCAATCTATTGGGAAAACCTAGTGTAAGAACCAGGGCCATTAATTGGACTGATCTCGGTTATGTGCGTCACGACCTGGAAGACCTTGATGCCCCAATCACCACACATGATATCGAGTCTGTAGTTAAAGACATGCCGTCTGAGAAGGCGCCCGGCCCTGATGGTTATATCGGGTGCTTCTATAAAAAGTGCTGGTCAATAGTGAAAGATGATTTGATACAAGCCATCATGAGTTTCTTTAATCTCCACACGTCAAAGCTTAATCAGATCAACACAGCCAACATAGTGCGTGCTGCTGCCCAAGACACAGGATGCAGCATCACTATCAGAGTTTAGACCAATAAGCCTCATCAACAGTGTGGTGAAGATCATCACGAAATTACTAGCGAACAGATTGGCGCCACATATGAACGCCCTGGTCTCCAATGCACAGAATGTCTTTATTAAGAAGAGATGCATCATGACAATTTTATATACGCACAATGGATAATCCAATTATTGCATAAGAAAAAGAAGCCAGCTCTCTTCATTAAATTAGATATCTCCAAGGCATTTGACTCCATTGGATGGAGTTTCCTACTTGAGGTACTTGAAAATTTAGGATTCAACACTAAATGGAGGGACTGGATAGCGGCACTACTCGGAACGGCAACGTCAAGAATATTGATTAATGGGCAGCAGACAAGAGAGATCAAACACGTGAGAGGGCTAAGACAGGGGGACCCGCTATCACCTCTCTTGTTCATCATTGCTATTGACCCTCTACAGCTTATCATTGAGGTGGCGGCAAATAGGGACATCCAGAACCCGGTTTTGCCAACGGCGGCGAAGCTAAGGTGCTCACTCTATGCTGACGACGCTACGACGCAAATGTCTCATTGCATAGCTACTGACGCAAATGTCGAATGAAGGTAGACAAACCTCATAGGAAAGCTTTCGATGGACTAATGATATACTTTTGGTGGAATATATGGAAAGAGAGAAATAGAAGAACTTTTCAAAACAAGAGTTTACAAGCAAGAGAGGTGGCTTTCTTATGTAAAGAAGAGGTCGATCAATTTCAATGGGCAACGAGACCAAACGTGGAGACCAGCTAGGCTCTGTAACTTATGTAGTTTCCTTTTCCTTTTAGGCGCTTTGTTTCTTTCGTTCTCAGGTGGTATTCCGTTTTTATTCGGCAGAGTAGCGTGGTGTTTCCTAGGACCGGTGCGGTCACCATGGTTAAAAGTTCGTTAAGGTTGTAACCCTTCTTATTTTTTCTTTTTTTTTTCTCGTCTAATAAAAATCCGGTTAAAGCTTTTTGTCGTCTTTGGGAAAAAAATGTTTTAGGAACTACTGTACTAGGAAGGCAAACATGCATGTATGTAGGGAGTAAATGGGCATCGCTGCACGTACGTACGCAGGCTCGTGACACACGGGTGGTCTGCCACCGGATGTGCTTGTGTTAATCCATTCGTACGTCATCTATAAGCGCGGGCTGTGCACGCACACGTATGTCAGTGTTTATGTCTCCTCTATATATTGTACTTTATTAAAAAAATAGTGAAATATAGTATATAAAAAATACTGAGTATTGATTCTGCTATCGTCCCACCCAAACACGAACAACATGCCCACAACACTACTCACAGGTCGGTACGGTGTAATCTTACTGCGTTCGCTATACGACCGACCACATCCTACTCCATTCCATTCGTTCCAAATCATAAGTTGTTTTCACTTTTCTGAGTTCTTAGACTTTGCTATATGCATCTACATATATATTGTGTCCAGATATATATATAGTAAAAATCTTAAAAGGCCAAAACGATTTATGTTTGGAACAGGGGCCAAGATTATCTAGCATGGTCCGTAAGAGCATCTATGTGCTTAATGTGTGCTAAGAAGATAGTTGAGGTATACTAAAAAATTATAGGCATAGCAACATTAATTTATAAAATGTATAGTGCTTAAAATCATATGAGTTCTTTGAAACTGTTACTCTATACTATCTTTGATAATATCAACAGTGTAATATAAGGTAAATTTAGATATTATTACCTCATATTTTCTTTTGTGATACTACTTGAGGGATTAGTTTTAATAAATCGTTTTGTAATGATAGAGATTGGTATTATGAAAAGTCAGAATAGGTCTAAAGGGTGCAATTGTGTGGATGATGATCATAATTAGAGGTCATTTTTTTATTGTTTAAAAATTTGTATAGTTTATTCTTTCCCAATGTGTTTGGTTATGATTAAAGTTGAGAGCCTCTAATCAGATATGCTTTTACAGTAGTCCAAAAGTCTTGATTCAAGCCAGATGACCAATGTAAAGAAATATTAGTATAAGACATAATCATGGACCACCCAACCCAACCCGCCGGTGAGTTGAGTCGAACTCATATCATAATTTTTAACCTATGACTCGATTCAAGCCGAGAAAACCAACTAGCATAATTTAGCAAGAAGAGAGATGCAATGTAAGTAAAATTGCACTTGGGACGATGAGCCCCTAGCTTCATACTTGATTGCCTCGCAAGTGATGTTACTATACTGAATGAATAAAGTATGCTGAATTATTTCAAAAAACAAAAGAAATAACCTGGCCCGACCTCATTCGCTAGCGCATCGGGTCGGGCTAAAACCAAAATTTCTGATCAAATATATGTTCTCGGCTCAACCCAAACCTTGCTGACCCATGTTTGATCAGATCTAATTAGTAAGGAGGATATGATGATCCATCTGTGCCAGCTGAGAGGTGAGAGCTGACAGTGACACAGCTTAGGCCAATGTGTCGGAGACTACTTAGATATAAACGATTCTTCAATTAAAACTCCATTTCTAATCTCTACTAATTGCTAATTGGACGAATTTAGAGGAGGCAGCAAGTATAGATAAGCAGTATCCAAACGCTGGTATAACTATAAAAGCTGGGATCCTCCAATCCGACGCTCCTCACTGTCCTTGTCACTCTCACCGGCTCACCGCACAGTGAGCCCACCACCGTACCGTACCACAAAATGCGGAGGCCGCCCAAGCCCAAGCCAGCAGCAGCGTCGGCCACCTTCCTCCTCTCCCTCTCCCTTCTCCTCCTGCCGCTCGGCTTCGTCGCCACCCACAGGGCATTCTCCGGTGGCGTCGCCGCCGCGTCCACGTCCACCGCCAAGCGTGTTCTTCTCGTGGACGACGGCCATGCCAACGCGGACGCCGCCGCCGCCGTGGAGCGGCACTGCGCGGGACGCTGCACCGCGACGTCTGCGCGTCGACGCTGGCCACCATCCCGGACCTTGCGCAGAAGCCGGTGCGCGACGTTATCTCAGCGGTGGTGGCGCGCGCGGCGGCCGCGGTGCGCGCGTCCGCGTCCAACTGCTCCGCGTACCTCCGCCGGCCCGCGGGGGCTGGGGCGCTGCGGGTGCGCGACAGCCTGGCGCTGTCCGACTGCGTGGAGCTGCTGGGGCACACGCTGGCGCAGCTGGGCACGGCGGAGGCGGAGCTGTCGGCGGGGAACCGCTCCGCGGAGGAGTCCGTGGCCGGGGTCCAGACCGTGCTGTCGGCCGCCCTGACCAACCAGTACACCTGCCTGGACGGCTTCGCGGGGCCGTCGGCGTCGGAGGACGGCCGCGTCCGGCCCTACATCCAGGGCCGCATCTACCACGTGGCCCACCTGGTGTCCAACTCCCTCGCGATGCTGCGCCGCCTCCCGCAGCGGCGCCGTCGGGGCAGAGAGGCGCTGGAGCTGGAGGGGTACGGGCGCGTGCGGCGCGGGTTCCCGTCGTGGGTGTCGGCGGCGGACCGGAGGCGGCTGCAGCAGCAGCAGCAGGTGGTGGTCCCGGACCTGGTGGTGGCCAAGGACGGGAGCGGCAACTTCACGACGGTGGGGGAGGCGGTGGCGGCGGCGCCCAACAACAGCGAGGCGCGGTTCGTGATCTACATCAAGGCGGGGGGCTACTTCGAGAACGTGGAGGTTGGGAGCGAGAAGACGAACCTGATGTTCGTCGGCGACGGCATGTGGAGGACGGTGATCAAGGCCAGCCGCAACGTCGTCGACAACTCTACCACCTTCCGCTCCGCCACGCTAGGTCAGTAAGGACTCCATCAGCCAAGTAATACTCCTATATGGGAAGAATTTTAATACTCATCAATCAGATCACTTGCCGTTGCCGACAATGCAATGTCGTCGGAGGCATTGGCATTTGGCAAATAGGAGTACGTAGATAGAAGATCATCCGTCTGTCGGGACCGCGCAATGCAGCGGTAGATCATCGTGATATTTTCTAGTGGACCCCCGGCGGTCGTGTCGGAGACGAAGACGAACGACGACAGTCGCTGTGTCACTCCGGCCAGCGTACTAGTTTTTTTACACCTGTGAAGTGTGGCAGTGCTGGTTGAGGCAGACGACAATTGAGGAGAGCACGAGCGAAGGAAGCGTGGCCACCGGTGAATGGAAGATCCTGCATTGGCCTTTGCCCTGCTAGCTGCAGCTGGACTCTCCACTGCTACTATACTAGCTGTAGCACGCGTCTCACTTCATCACGGATCACTTCGGCCTTGTCTGTTCATAAGGTTTACTCTACGTCCCATCGAACATTTGACACAAGTACGAAGTATTAAATATAGACTAAAAAATAGTTAATTACATAATTTACGACTAATTTGTGAGACGAATTTTTTAAATCTAGTTAGTCCATAATTTAACAATGCGGGCTACAGTAACACATATGCTAATGACGGATTAATTAGGTTTAATAAATTCGTCTCATGGGTTACTGACGATTCTGTAATTTATTTTTTTATTAGTATCCTAACACTTCATACGACATCTCTATATGACAACCGATATGACACTCTAAAACTTTACGCTCTAAATTTAAACAAAACCTAGTACTAAAAGATTCAACGTCTAGAGTCAGGTTACACTACTGGAGGCGGGCTCTTTGTCGAGTGCCGGCACCTTTGCCGAGTGCAACACTCGGCAAAGAGCCTCCGTCAAATCCCCTTCCGATAAAGGCTGCTTTGCCGAGTGCCAAATTTCGGGCACTCGGCAAAGATTTGACGCCGTCGGCCGACAGCCGACACCGTCTAATTTTTTTTTTAAAAAAACTCTTTGTCGAGTGCCACAGCTCCGGCACTCGGCAAAGAAATCTGTTTTTTAACCTCTTTGCCGAGTGCCACAGCACCGGCACTCGGCAAAGGGTGTTTTTTATTTTTTTATTTTTCTTTGCCGAGTGCAATGACCATTGCACTCGAAAAGCGTGTTTTTTTTGCACTCGGCAAAGCCACCTCTAAATTTCTTTTTTTCTGTTTTTTGCTTTTCCATTTAAACAACAATGCATATATATATAATAGAAACCACAATTCAACAGCAATAAATTACAAACCACATTTATATATTACAAACGACTAAATTTGTCTGAAATCCACAATTTATTACAAACCACAAGTTCATAGTCCACAAGTTCACAAGTTCGATATATAGAAACTACTCCGCAAGCGGCTCACGGCAACTGCGCCCCAGCGTGCGATCCCGGCGACGGTCCGGGTGCGGATGGCCCGACTTGCGATGCCGGCGACCCTCCGACCTGGTATTACATAGTATTACATGTATTTCTAATATTCTTCATGATCGGGATTATCTGGACGATAGGTATCGTCATCACTATCAAGAGCCTCCAAATCGTCAACAGCCTCATCCTCATCGCTATCATTGTCAAGTACAAGTCCGTCAAGCATTTTCAAGTCTCTCGGATCATGTAGGACCTTCTGTGCTGAATCCAACATGGCCAAGAACGCCTTAGCGCCTGGCTCTGGCTCCTCCTCATCCTCCTGCTCGTCCTCCGTAGGCCTTTCAGCAAACGTCGCATCCTCATAGTCACCTAACCATCCTGGTACCCCGCCATCACCGTCAAATGCCTCCAAGCGTCGTCTCACGGCCTCCTCTCTAGGACGATAGGCTTCACCATGGGACACCCACCAGGTATAGTTTGGCATAAATCCATACTTGCAAAGATGCTGCACCATGACTTCCCTTATTTTTCTTTTCTTGTTTTCACATTGGCTGCAGGGACAGAACGTGTCTCTCGCTCCCTTAGCTGCCTTAAATGCATGGTCCAAGAATTTCTCGGTCTTATCCATCCATTCACGGGTGATTTGAGCCTGACTTGGGCGTCCCATGTACATCCACTCACGGTTATCCATCCTCTAGCATATACACATAACGGAGTAATATAACCATTAGTTGCATCTGCACGGCGTGCCTACTGTCTAATAGGTGAGGATAGGTCCTAATCCCACCCGCGGATGCGTAGATGAGATTAGTTTCCATGCTCTACTCCGATCCGAGACAGAATTTCGGCATCACCTCCCCGCTGTTCTCCCGATACACGTCCTGGAAGGGAGAGTGTGTATCCGGAGAACAACAGTGAGGTGGTGCCGAAACTCCGTCTCGGATCCGAGCAGAACATGGAAACTAATCCATCTATGCATCCGCGGGCTGTCCAAAAAATGTGGATAATCTTAAACAGATACGGTCATAGATATGCAGAGATCCGCATACCTCCAACCGTATCTGTTTTGGACGAGAGACGCCTAACTGGGCTACACCGATCTACGTACTACAACGGTAAGGAAGAGAGCTCAATTATACCTAGGGTGGTGGTGGAGATAGGCTGGCGGCCCAGTGGCGAGTCGGTGCAGTGGCGAGTCGGCGCTGTGCAGGCAGGACCGCAACGCCGACGAAGACGATCAGGGTCGCCGAGGTCTCCGAGTCCCCTCCGACAGGTCCTGCTCTGCAAAAAAAAAAACATCACTAAAAGTTAAAAATTTCGGCAGAACCTCCCCTGCACGGGGAGGTTTCCAAAACCTGCAAAAAAAACATCGGCACGATGGCCGACGTCCACATTTGGGGCACGATGGCCAACACAACCACAAACCCGGCACGAAGGCCATCAACGACATAAACGGCGCGATGGCCGACAACCCTACGGCTTTACCTTCTCCTCCGGCGAGGGCGGGGAAGACGGCGTGGACGAATGGCGTGGACGACGTTGATGAACGTGGACGAACATGGACGAACGTTCGTCCCCTCCACCTCGGCTTCCTCCTCCTTCCTTTTTCTTCTCCTTCTTCCTCCTCCTTTTTCTTCCTTCTTCTTCCTTCTTCTCCTTCTTCCTCCTTTTTCTTCCTTCTTCTTCCTCTTCCTGCTACCTTCTTCCTCCTTCCTCCGGGGCATGCATGGGCTCATGGGGCCTACTACTGGCATCTGGCAGGGCGGGCGGCAGGCGTTGCCCCAGCATGGGCGCCATGCAGCCAGGGCCGGGCCTGGAAGCGGTGGCCGGCCCAGGGTGGGGCGGGCGAGGCGGGCGGGGCGGGGGCCCGGGCGGGCGTGGCTGGGCGCCCGATCTGGTGGCCAGGCCGGCCGGGGGGGGGGAGGCGGTGGTCAGTGTGGGGCGTGGCCGGGCAAGGCGCTGGGTTCATGGGGTCGGGGACGGGCAAGGCAGGGCAGCAGTCGGGGCCGGGGGAGGGGGGGGCATGAGGCGCCAGCCTGTGTGTGTGGTGCCATGGGCAGCGGTGAGGTGAGGTGGCGAATGACTGCGGGTGTCGTACGTGTGTGAGTGTGTTGTGTGGAGGAGTGAGTGTGTGGGCCGCCCACACATTTAGTTAAGGTTGCCCTTTGCTTGCGAGTCTTTGGGCGGGCCAAGCTTTTCGGCAAAACTTTTTTTTTTTAAAAAAATTCTTTGCCGAGTGCCACTTCCTGGTGCCAGGGCCGGCACTCGGCAATTTTTTTTTGTTTTTTGTTTTTTTTTGCCCCATTATTTTTTTGCAGCCTTGATATATTATTTAAAACTCCATGTTCAAATTTGGCACAATTTTGACTTTTTTTTGCTATATTTCGTTAGTTTTTTTTGTTTCGTTGAATTTTATGGAATATTTCAAATTTGAACTACAGGTGCATGGAATAATCGAATTTGGTCGTTCAAAAAATTATATTCATGATATTTGGTGTATGTTGAGGCCGTATCCAGGAACTCACATGAAATTTTGAGCATCTTGTTGACGTAACATGACGAGGTACCTGCGGGAAAAGTGTATTTAAATTATATAAAATCCGAACGAAGTCCGAAAATGACGAAACTTGTCGGGGCGTCGTGTTATCGCATGTAGAGTCTATGCTAAAAAATTGAGAAGGTTTCGAGCAAGCAGCGACGGCGAATGCCTAAAACCCAGACATCTCCACATTTTTTGCCGAGTGCCAGGGCCGGAACTCGGCAAAGAATTTTTTTTAAAATTTGACGACGTGGGCGGGCTCGGCCGTCAAGTGCCATTTTTTTTGCCGAGTGTCACTCTTTGCCAAGTGTTGCACTCGGCAAAGAGTGCTTTTGCCGAGTGCCGCCCTTTGCCGAGTGTCGGGCACTCTGTGGCACTCGGCAAAGCCGCTCTTTGCCGAGTGCTAGACTTTGCCGAGTGCCACCCGGTCCGACACTTGGCAAAGAGTGGCTTCGCCGAGTGCCTGATTTTTGGCACTCGGCAAAGCTGGCGGCACTCGGTAAATCTACGTTCTCCCGTAGTGTTACTATGCCTCATAAACACAAGCAGGACTCGATGATTGCATGTCTCGTACAGGATCGCATTGCTGGGCGAGCATGGCGGTAGGCCGACAATTGCATATGCGTGCATGAGCCGGCTCGTGCCCGTACACAAATGTACATGGATTAGTGTACATTTGATTCACGAGTGTCGTACGTAATCGTCAAATAGGAGCAGTATATTAGCCTGTTCGTTTCGCTAAAATTTGACTTACGTTGATTTGAGAGATAAATGTTATTTGTTCGCTGAAAAATACTGTTGAAGTAGTTTTCCTGCTGGTTCTACCGATGGGCGTGTGGCACGTGCTACCTAGGTCGCGGGTCGCCGATAAATGTAGCTTGCTATAGGTTGGCGATGACAAACTACGGCCCTGTTGGTCGGCCTCCAACTCCAGCCTGTGGCGGGCATTCTCCTCCTTGCAAAGAGTTCAGAGGAGCAAGAATCATTTTTTATTTAAAAAGTCAGAGCTTAAGAAAGTGGTTCTCTCAGTTCTTTCTCACAAACCTAACAGTACAAAATTATTACAAAATTAGTAACGAAGCCGGACTTTGTCAAACCTTTTTTTTTTCAAAACGACTTTGGTTTAGCCATAGAAGCTGCTCCGCGTGGAGAGCCAGAGCTAAAATGGTATCAAACAGGACTTACATGATACAAGCGAGTAGACAACATAAATAAACTTAATATTTATGGGTTATGTGGTAACATGTTAAAACGAAGTTTATTTGTGGATTTGCAGACAGGTTTGACAACATACCTAGAGCCAAACTACCATGGGTTGACTGTCAGCAAATCGACGCCCACCCTAATCAACTCCCAACATTCCCCTTTCCACGAGCTAGAGCAAGAGACAAAAGGAGACTCATGCTTCATTTGGTGTGCCTTCAAACAGCTCTAACTCTTTTGCTACAGTGCATGGAGTAGCCGTCGACCAGTAAAGTCCGGTTTCTAGTCTATTTTGAGAGAAAAGATAAAAATAGCTTCTTGTTACACTATACATACGGAGTAGCCAGAGCTAAAGCCCGTTGGAGCTCTCCACCAAATGGGCCATGAGAGTTCTATTTGAAGCAACATATATATGGTCTATTTGGGACTCATCTATAAGCTCCACCGTGGAGCAGCTTCTAGAATAACTCTAAAATTTCTGGAGCATCCTCTTGTGTCTTCTCTAAACTCCACCTCTTTTGTTAGAGCAAAATTTGTAAAAACTACACCTGTTTTGACTGAAAAACATGGAGCGAAGCAGTGTCAAACATGCCCCTAAGTGGAGAGAGCGCACGATGATTAAGAGCATCACCTGATACCAACTCGTATGTTACGTAGTTTCTCCCTCACAACGAATCATAGCTAGCTGGCTAGTAAAAAAATACTCTCTACGGTGTAGTACTCTATCCCTCACAACGAATCATGGAGGCGATTTCGTGGTGCTGATGCTGCTCTCTACTCCGCATCTAGCTGTGGTCTCCCCTCTTCTCTCCCCGTTGGCTCCTAGTCCTAGCTAGCTGCTTCCTTTCTTCTCTCCCTTGTGCCTTGTGTGGGATTGGAGTAGGAGTGGACAGGACGAGTGGTGTGTAGTGGATGCCGGCCGGCAGATTGGTCGTCGATCGGTCTCCCCTCTGGTCCCTGCAGCTGCAGTGCCCCAGTGCGTGGGCCGTGGGGTGGGGATGCTAACCTCTACTCTAGTCTATAGTAGAATCGAATCAACCTCAGCTGCAAGCCGACACTGCCCGCCCGGCCCTACCTACATACCAACGGATGGAGCTGCTGAGACTTGAGAGACTAGCTAGTACTCCTCCCTCCCATGGCCTAACCGACAGACCGGCCGTCGGCGTGCCTCGTCTACCGCGCCGCGCACCAACCTCAGCTCCTCGATCGGTCCGTGGCCTTGTCGCGGCCGCTGGACAGAAGCGCCCGCCCGCCCGATCGCTCGCTCGCTCTATAGGGCTGGTGTCGCCATTGCCTGGTCAAGATCGATCCATACCATGATCCATCGGTGGTGACAGGGAATGAAGCACGTACCAAACGCTTGTTTTGGCCCAGCAGCCAGCAGAGATCTCGAGGCAGCTAGTTGCGCCACACAGCCAGACGACGATGAGAGCGAGAGGGCAGTCAGCTCTGGTTGGCACGCCACTTTCGCCTCTTGGTGCGTGTCGTGTCGGTGTGGCACGTACAGTACGTATGCAATGATGGTGCATCGCCGGTACGTGCCCGCCGCTCACATGCCACTTGTGGTTGTGGGCACTTGCGATGCATGGGTACACCCGTCGCCACCTAGCCAGCGTACGTCAGTCATGTCGGCTGACACCGACAGATGTGCATTGCTAGCAGTAGCAGCAGCAGTTTCATTCGACTGTACTACACAAGGCCATCTGACACCTGATCTGATGTCGTCCGATCCCCCAGCGGTGGTGGGCACGGGCTTCCTGGCGCGTGACCTGACGGTGGAGAACGCGGCGGGTCCAAGCAAGCACCAAGCCGTGGCGCTGAGCGTGAACGCCGACCTCGCCGCCTTCTACCGCTGCAGCTTCGCGGGGTACCAGGACACGCTGTACGCGCACTCCCTCCGCCAGTTCTACCGCGACTGCGACGTCTACGGCACCGTCGACTTCGTCTTCGGCGACGCCGCCGCCGTGCTGCAGGGCTGCAGCCTCTACGCGCGCCGCCCGGGTCCCGGCCAGAAGAACGTCGTCACGGCGCAGGGGCGGGAGGACCCCAACCAGAACACCGGCATCGTCGTGCAGGGCGGCAAGGTCGCCGCCGCCGCCGACCTGGTCCCCGTACTCGGGAACGTCTCCTCCTACCTCGGCAGGCCATGGAAGCAGTACTCGCGCACCGTGTTCGTGCAGACCAAGATGGAGGCGCTCGTCCACCCGCGAGGCTGGCTCGAGTGGAACGGCACGTTCGCGCTCGACACGCTCTACTACGCCGAGTACATGAACCGCGGGCCCGGCGCCGACACCTCCGCAAGGGTGGCCTGGCCGGGGTACCACGTGCTCACCAACGCCGCCGACGCCGCCAACTTCACCGTGCTCGACTTCATCCAGGGAGACCTCTGGCTCAACTCCACCTCCTTCCCCTACACATTGGGCTTCACCTAGCTACCTTACCTGGCTAGTAGAATTTTGAGTTGCTTCGGTTCTTCCGGAATACTGTAACGGTTCACCTAGCTCAGGTTTTCACTTCACACGGTTCCTATTTAATTACTACCTAGAGGTAATCCTGAAGCTGGACCTGCAATCACCGCATGTGTTTCGGTCATTGCTAAGTACTGCTGTATGATTCTTTGGTTAACAATCGATAACGGCCGAAGGCTAGTAATTTATGCAAGGGAAAGTGTACAACGGTTCATTGACGACTATTTTATTCATTCATTGTCTATTCATCTGAAACACTGTGTGTGGCTAGTAGAATTTTGGAGTGGCTTCAGTTCTTCTGAAACACTGTAACAACGGTTCAGCTAGCTCAGGTTTCACTTCACGGTTTCTATTTGTTACCAACAGCTAATCCTGAAAGCTGGATCCGCAACCACCACATGCGCTTCATTAGTATGATCCTTTGGTTAACAATCGTCAACGGCCGAAGGCTAGTCATCTACTATGTATGTATGGAAGGGAATGACCCCCTCATTGCTTCTGATTCGTCTGGATCTGCTGTACAAGAAAAGCACATGATGAGCTACAGGTTTACCGCCAGTTAATCACTGTATATCCATCATTCGGAGCAAACATTGGAGTCTTATTCGGTTTTGTGGGCTGATAATATCTAATGCCGGCCGTTGACATGTCTAAGTACCACCAAGAGTACAAAGTGTACAACATACATACACGTTGATGAATATATAACGCCATTATTTACTCATCATCTATCTACCAGAGATGTGTGCTGCCTGCCATCCCCTAACCCTGTGAACAGAACAGAACAGATTGATGTTCATTTATTCATTGCCAAAACAACTCACTTCGCCCTCAAGTCACAACCTAGCCCTCTGCAGCTCCAGCTTCGCGATTGTCCCAAGATGGACTTCGTCAGGACCGTCTGCAATCCGCAGTGTCCTAGCCGTTGCCCATAGGTGCGACAGGACCGTGTCCGATGAGACACCAGCTGCGCCATGAACTTGCATCGCCATGTCAAGCACCTTCAGGGCCATATTTGGAGCTGCCACCTGCATGGAGGCCACCCAGCTTCGTTGAACCGTTTTGATAAAACCGTTAAAAAAAGAAGGTAATGACCAAGTTTGGTTTACCTTGGCCATCGCGAGGATACCACGAGCTTTCTTGTTCCCATGTCGATCAAGTTGATCGGCCGCTTCAAGAACTAAAAGCCTAGCCTGCTCCAGTTCAATCCGACACTGCATTCCGCACTCATGCATGTTAGTGGAATGCAGTGAACAAAATCCCAGAGAGAGAAAAATGTTACAGGTTAAAACTGGAACCTTCTTAATTCATTTACCACTTCAGAACCTTAGTAGCGAACCAAGCATACCTTTGCAAGATCTGATAAAAAGGAACCATGCTGTGCAATCCTCTTTCCAAACGCGGTCCTACTTAAGGCCCTCTCTACCATCAGATCCATGCCACGTTCTGCTGCCCCTACTAGCCTCATGCAATGATGTAACCTTCCAGGACCAAGTCTTCCCTGCGAAGCATCTATATATCACACACAAAGCACAAGTTACAGTAAAAGCATTGGTAATAACAGCAAGGCACTGCTTACTTGAGCAATCTCAAAACCCCGCCCTTCTCCAAGCAGGATATTTGTTACTGGAACACGCACATTTTCAAATGTAATCTCTGCGTGTCCATGAGGTGCATCATCAAATCCAAAGACTAACAATGGTCTCTTTATCTGCACCCCAGGACTGTTGATATCCACTAAAATCATGGACTGTTGCTTATGCTTAGGTGCAGAGAAATCTGTCTTTCCCTGAATGAAATAAAAACATCCAGCATTCAAACAGAAATATGGAATACTGATGATAGCAATATCACGTAGCTATAAATAGATGCAAGTTACCATCAATATCAGGATTTTGCACCTAGGATCCATGGCTCCACTGGTCCACCACTTCCTTCCATTTATCACATAAAAATCTCCTTGCCTGTTGAGAAGGAAAAAGAATAACAAGAGCTCATAAGTACACCCATAATGCACAAAGTTCAAACAAAAAAAGACACCCCATCTATTTAAATTACCAGAAGAGAACAACATATCATGCAAATATAAACTATACTTAGAGCTTTCATTTAACTTGTTTCTGGATAAAAGTGGGAAAATAAAAGGTTGGTTACAGTAGGATCATAATGAGGCGAGCAAGAGAGAGGGGAACAGAGAAGCAACTATAGACAATTAAACATTAACATCCAAACGGAGTACCATTGACAGGCCAGTAAACATTTTCTCCCCCTTTTATTACCTGGATATTGAGCACTCTATATTTGTTGCATCTGAAGATGCAACTTGTGGTTCTGTCATTGCAAATCCAGAACGAATTGTCCCTTCCAATAAAGGAACTAGCCATTGCTTCTGTTGCTCCTTAGTGCCATACCTCAACAGGACCTGATTGATATATCCGTATCATGTATTGTCACAAAACAAATTATTCATCCGATTGGCAATTGCAATGAATCACTTAAACTGGAAGACAAAGATTCTTCTACAGATAAAATATTTTCTATTTACATGGCTAGAAAACAATGTCAGATATAATAGTTGCACCCTAAGATTTTTCACAACGCTACAAAATATGCTGAGCAGAAATTTAAGAAACAATTATTTCTCTAAATATGCATCATTAATGGGGGTAGATCTAATGGCCTCCACTGCAACTTTTAAGCCAACTATAACAACTTAAACCAGTATTCTCCATAAGAGAATGAAGAGCATTTTTCTCTTACCTCCATGTTACCTGTATCAGGTGCACCACAGTTAAATACTTGTGGAGCCCAAACTGAACGTCCCATAATCTCACACAAATATCCATATTCAAGATTTGTAAGACCCGCACCCAGCAAAAGATCATTAGAACTTCCAAGGGAAATTTGAGAATGGTCTTCAAACAGTAGCTTTCTAGCTCTAGCTGCACTGTCTAGCTGCAGATCAACGATTTTAGTTAGCACAGATGAAGCAACTACAAAACAGATGAACCCTCCATTAACAGAAGAAACATAATGTGGCAAACTTTTTGAATAATGTAAGCACAAAGGGTTTCAAAGGAGGGAAAAACATACCGGAATAAACAAGTTCCATAGGCCCTCCTTCTTTGCCAATGCTTTAAGATTTTCTTCTTCTGGATGAATTGTCCATCTTGAGGTTGATTGTGCATGTTTGTAGAACTCACCCTCCATTGGGTATATGCGATCTTCAATAAACTTTATTAGTTTCTTTTGAAGCTGCATAACCTTTTCACTAGGAACAAATTTGCCTTGATTCTTTTCGGAAGTTAAACTATATTCCTCTCTGTGAAATTCTTGCCACGGTGCTCCTGAGACTTGAAAACCTAATGTTGAATGCAAAGGATGGTCAAAACACAAATAGCCTACCCAGTATCCACAAACAAGACTCCACTGCATATTCGAGATACAAACAAGACTCCACTGCATGGCAGGAGGTTGTTGAACTGAAATTACTGAACATAATTACCCTTAGAAGGCGGTTCTTGCAGGACATTTACTGTATTTATGAAGTCCCAGGCGCAGTCAACCATAGCGTTACCAACCCTGCCAGCAAATTTAGCGCGCTCACCACCTGAAGCATTACCCTGTGTGCCAGCTCAAGTAAATGAGAATAAATAAAAAGTCTTGGCTTCCAGATTTCAGGAGTTTAAGACATGTACCATAGTCCATCGGTGATATAATCCTGCATAGATTGATGCCCCACGAAACAAAGAAAAAGCAATGTAGAATTTCCAATTTGCAGCAGACCAGGGTCTTGCCTGAGAAATATTTTAGAACAAGTGAGGGAAAACAGCTAATAGAATGTGGCTTATCCATTGCCAACCTGAAATATGTGTATTTGATGCTTACAGAGTAAGAGCAGTATACAGAAAGGTACTCTTCCAGTTGAGGAATCCCATCTGGAATGCCAGTATGTTGAAACCCTCCATAAGAAGTCCTTTCACTCAGTGCTGCATCAATAATATATGGCTGAAAGGGAAATTCATCAGAGTCAACCAAAACAAGTAACCTACCATTATAGTGAAACAAAAAGCAAGAAAAATATGACAAAATGGATATCTATATATCATTATTGGGCATGGGATATGGTACAAATTCAGAGGCAGTGATAATAAGCCCCCAAATATAAAATGAGACGAGTAAGATGAAGCATCACAGTTTACTGCATTAGAGGGGCATTGCAATAGAAGAGAGATCAGATACACTCCATTTGGCCAGGCTTTAAAGGGTTACACAAAATATCTTACATAACTCTTATCTCTAGCACCAGTTTCTACAGATGGTCACCTCTATGCAGTAAAAAGGAAAATATGGTACAAAAATCAAATAAGCGTTCTTCTTTGAAAGTAGCTCGAGTCTTGAGCGAAGTGAAAGTAAAATGTGTTTTTAAACGAGTACACCAAACAGCATCACCTTCAAATTTCAACGAACTACCATTGTCGGAATATATCAGGAAGAGGTATGATGCAAAAAGAATGTGTTACACTAAATATAGGTGATTGATGCCTAACAATGTTAAAATAAGAAAGTACTTCATACCAAGCAGCTATAAGCAACATCACACATCTGATTCCCCAAAGTAGATAGTTCCCAATCAATAACGCCAATTACTCGATCCTGTATACAAGCAAATATAATTGTCTTACAAAACATGTAAAATTATATGCCCAACACAGATGAATGCACGAACACTTGCAATGACAGAAACGCAGACCTCTGTTGGATGAAAAACTAGATTATCAGGGCGGTAATCACCATGAACAAGACCCGTTCCTGATCCTGCTAAGGAATCTTCTTTAGGTACATGTTCTTTCAACCAACGTGCTAGATCAAGCATCCTCTGATAACGTGCAGGCTTCCCTTCACCAGTGGATGCAAGATATTGCCTCTCCCATCTTTCAACCTGAAAAACGAAACAGAAACTA